AATGTAACATGCTTCACGAGTAGTGAACATGCTTAACACTTTGACTGTCAACTGAACAACCTCAAAAATTCCATATAAACGAAATAATTTATTCGATAAAGTTAAAATCGACAACTGAAGATATTTGATACCGAGTACTCTTTCAATCTTCTTGCAATTAGCAGATACTAACCTTGATCACACCGAACACATCGGTGTAAAAATCCATGTTTAACTCTTTGCACTCGAGTGGTGGCTCTGAGGCACCACTAAAATTTGTTGTATCACGTTCTAAGATAACTATTACGTTAACAAAGTTTAGATTTAAAAAACAAATTGTTAAAAGTATAACCGTTGTATAAGTCGCAAGACTCAATGTCGCATGCATCAAATGCACTTTGTCATATAAAATGAAGACACTATAAATCAGAAAAATTATTTTAGATTTACAGTTAAACAGCTTCGAGTGCAAATGGTTAAATCTAGACAAATAATTCCGCGAACCGCATATAGGTGACAGAACAGTCAAAGCGTCAATTATTACAGAACCAATAAATATTTCGGGACTGGGTGGTCGGTTGCTCGAGCGCACTGTCTTACTTACGATTGACATCTAAAATGATCTCGGACGTCTGAGGTGAGATGAGAGGCGTGTTGTCCGCCCGGCAAGTTAACTTCGCCCGATGAAACTCTCTCGTGACCGTGTAGGGATCAAGCCGGTTCGTCGTGATTTTACCATGTTCCAACGTGTACGTATTATCCAGCAGTTTCCCCTTGAAGTGCCACGTGACATTCGGCGCCGGTGAACCCCCGATTACCTCGCATAATAAGGACAATACGCTACCCTCGTTGAAAGATACTTCAGCCAAACTTCTACCGTCGCCAGTGTAAATCGTCGGCTTGCTCGGTGGCACTGTCACGAAGTTGAATTTATGTGAGTTGCACGTCGCGCGGGCTCGCCAAAATCTTTTGAAAGATTCTCGCTACCGCGGAACCGTAATTAGTCAGCGCGTCACTCGCATATTTACGTGATAATTTTCGTTGACGACACGGCCGAGAATACCGGGCCATGTTTTCGTACAGATAACCACTCGGCTTTTTGCAATAAATATTTGTCGCAGTTATATTGGGTTGGCAACTAAGTAATTGCCGATTTCAGTTATAGATGTCTCTCACTTCCATTTTTATGATATCCGTGAATGTTATATTATAAAATTATTATTATGTTATTTTTTATTATCCGTGAATGTTAGCAACTGGACAAATTGAACGCAGCGGTCAAGGAGAAGCGACCAGAATTGGTCAATCGTAAAGGTGCCATTTTCCAGCAGGACAATGCTAGACCGCACACGTCTTTGTTCACTCGGCAAAAATTGATGGATATTGGTTGGGAATCGATGTTACACCCACCATATAGCCCTGATCTCGCGCCATCGGATCACCACTTATTTCGATCCTTGGACAACTCCCTTCGTGGTAAAACTTTGAATGATGATGACGCTGTAAAATCTCACTTAACTCAGTTTTTGGCCGAAAAGGATCAGACTTTCTACGAGCGTGGAA